CATTTTCTAAGCTTATTTTGAGGCAGGGTCTTGCTGTGTAGCCCGTTCTGGTCACAAACTTGTGGTAATCCTCTTACCTTACCCTCCTGAATGCTGAGACCATATCTGTGAACCATTATGCTCAACTTATTTTTTTTGTTTGTTTTGAATCAGGGTCTCACTATGTAACCAGACTGGGCTGGTTACACCTGGTTCTGCTTCTCCAGTGCTAGGGTTAAAGGTGTGCACTAGTACACCTGACTAGGGGGTACTCTTATTCCACATAAAAAAGAGTCTTCTGGGGCTGGAGAGATGGCTCAGCAATTAAGAGCACTAACTGCTCTTGCAGAGGACTGGGTTCGATTTCCAGCACCTACATGTCAGCTACGAACCATACACATAAAAAAATAAAATATTTAAAAAAAAAGTCTTCCTGGAGCCTTTTCTTTTTTTCTTTTTTCTTCTTGGTCTTTTTGAGATAGGGTCTCCCTGTAGCTCCAGCCAGCCTGGAACTCACAGAGATCCACTTACCTCTGCCTCCTGAGTGCTGGGATTAAAGGCATGTGCCACCGCATCTCGTATAAATTAGTTTTGTGTGTGTGTTTATTTATGTGTATGGTGGCACACACCACTGCCAACATGTGAAGGTTAGCACAAAGTTGAGGGAGTTGACTCTTTCCTTCCACTATGTGGGTCCCAGGAGTAAAACTTGGATAGCAAGGCTTAGTGGCAAGAGGGGTGGATAATAGGTGTTACCACCCAAATTTTTTGAGCCAAGACTTTCAGGAAGTTTGTGGGTTTTTTTCTTCTCCCAGCACTAGGGCTGGATTGTACCTATGGCCTTGTGCTTGCTAGACAAGTGCTCTACCACTGATATACCTCAAGTCTAAGAAACTTTAAGTAAAAATGATAGAGTCCACAAACATTTGAAGATAGTTGTAGTCTGTCCCAGAGCTATTCAAACAGGTGTCAGCCATCTGCTGGGAGGCTCATACAATACAGGTCTAGACACTCTAAGAGGCTCACCCATCCTGGCACCAAGCCAAGTGTTTCCTTTTGGAACACCAGCTATTCAATCTCTCTGCACAACAGTTTCTGTCTTAGGACTAGTTGTCTTCAAAAAATTCAGTGTGCTAGTCCTACTCCTTCCAGTGGTCCCTATTCTGATCCTGTTTAACTTACAAATGCAATCATCAGTCTCTGAAACTTTAATCCACTATCCTATCAATACTCAAAATGTCCCAATTCTCTCCTGTTTCTGGAACTCCTGGGTATTTTCTTACCAAGGACCTTACACTCCTTTCATCTGCCTAAAATACCTTCTCCTTACCACTTTTTTTTTAAAAAATATTTTTTTTATGCTTTGAAGAATTATTTTTTAAATTAAAAAAATTTAATAACCACATGATTAGAAGCATTTCATTATAGCTTTAATGTATTCACTAACACACTCCTGTGATGAGGACATCTGGCTTTTTTTAAATTTAAATTTCTTAAAATTTATTTAATAAATAATTACAACAGCATTGACATTGTCAATAAGAGTTTCCAGAGCAAAGATGCATCTCTTTCAAAATTGGCTGTAAATTGTTAGGTACGCAGTGTTGAATTAATACATTTATATATTATTGTACTCAGTATAAACCATATAAGACATAAAATTGAATGAGGTTTTAACCTTTAAAAAAGATCTCCATTTCATTTTAAAATATACTGTTTCATACAGAAAAAATTTTTTTTAGAAGCATTTCATTACAGCTTTAACATATTCAGTAACAAACTCCAGAGCAAGAGTACATCTCTTTCACAAGTGGGTGCAAGTTTCTAGGTTCACAGTTGAATTAATACAATTATACAATATTGAACTCAGTATAAGCCCTGTAAGACATAAAATTGAGTTTTTAACCTTTAAAAAAGATCTCCATTTCACTTTAGAATATACTGTTTCTTGCAGACTCATTGTTTTTGCTAACACGGAGATGTTGGCACATGTATCTCTAATCTCTATGTGTCTGATTATTACTAGTCATAATCGGTTGCACTTGGATCCTTGGCACCTGTGTATATCTATAAAGTCATCGGGTAGATTTCAATGGTAATGTTTACTACCTCTACTAATTAACATGACATGAATTTCCATGCTTCCTCCTCAAATATAATACATTTTTTAAAATTTGTTGATTTGTGTATGTGTATATCACACAGAACATCCCAAACCATCTTATTTGACTATACACCCACTTCCCAGATGGCACCCTCCCATAGCCTCCCTCCCCCCACCAGAGCCCTTATACTCTGATATCCCTGCTACTGTCTGCTGTGTTGTTGGCACCCCAGCCATTCCCCATTACTTGTCCGTCTGGTGAATCTAGTCAGCCTATCTAGAGTTCTTTGTTTTAGGAGGGTCAGCTGTTCCTCATCTAGTAGCAATCAGTTGTCAATATTCCTTTAGATAAGATTGGGGTCTGTTCATTTTCCCAGTTCTATGCTGGGAGTCCCTTTGGCCACCCTGGCCAACAATTCAAAAGAAGGTATCTCCTATCTGGCATTGTTGCTTGTTATGTAGCCTTTAGCTATGCTATACTCTTAAAAAATCATATTGGCCCCTTTAATCTTTGGTTATACTTTCCTTAAAAATTTTTTTATCATTTTTATGTGTATGCATGTATTGCCTGCATGTAGGTAAGTGAACCCATGTCATGCAATACCTGTGGAGGTCAGAAGAGGCTACTGGATCCCCTGGAACTGGAGTTATGGACAGTTGTTAGCTGCCATGTGGGTGCTGGGATTCAAACCCGGGTCTTCTGCAAGAATAGCCAGTGTTCTTAACCGCTGAGCCATCTCTCCAGCCCCTTCTCCTTGCCACTCTTTACTAGATTGTAGACTTGCCTGAGGTCATCACTGGAACCCTCTTATTAAGCTAGGTGTGGTGGTACACACCTATAATCCCAGTTACCTAGAAGGTTGAGGCAGGAAGAATTTTAAGTTCAAGATCAGTCTGAACTATATACTGAGACCCTGTTTCAAAAAACCAAAGAGATGGGCGTGGTGGCGCATGCCTTTAGTCCCAGCATTCGGGAGGCAGACGCAAGAGGATCTCTGTGAGTTCCAGGCCAGCTGGGGCTATAGGGAAACCCTGTCTCAAAAAGACCAAAAAAAAAAAAAAAAAAAAAAAAAAAAAAAAACCCAAAAAACCCCAAAGAAACACACATACAACATACATAAATGAGGTTGAAATATACTCCAAGTCTCTAAGAGCTAGAAAATGGAAATACATAGGTCAAAATTTCTGTAGGTAAAAAATCTTATCACACTAAAAAACCACATATCATTGTTATCACATTAATAGCAAAATTCAGAAACTGCTAACTCAAATGCATATAAAGTTCTATAACTTGATGTCATGGTGGCTCATGCTTTAATCCCAGTACTCAGGAAACTGATCAGGAAGAATTGCTGAATTCCAGGCCAACCTGGGTTACAGTGTGTGATCCTGTCTCAAAAAACTAACAGGGCTGGAGAGATGTTTCAACGGTTAAGAGCACTGGCTGCTCTTGCAGAGGACCTGGATCCAGTTCCCAACACCCATATGATGGCTAACAACTGTCTGTAACTCTAGTTCCAAGGGATGTGAAGACTTCTTACCTCTGAGAACATGGCATGTAAATGGTGCACTTACATACATGCAGCCTAACACTCGTGCAAAGAAAAATAAAAAAATTAAAAACAAAAACAAAACAAAGTGCTACAACTAGTCATTGTATCAGATCTTAAGAACACATGTCTAGGGTGAGAGAGCACACAGCAACACTTGCCACCAAGCCTGAGGACCCAAGTTCAATTGTGGAAGGGGAGAACTGACTCCATAAAGTTATCATCTGACTTCCACACATATACACACCATACATACACACAAACACAAATAAAATAAACAAGCCTTATTAAAAACAAACTTGTATCTCTTTCATATAGCCTAGGATATAAATGTCACAGAATCTTAAATTTTTATTTTCTATATGTCAATATTATAAATAGGCTTAATCTGACAATGCTTGACCCCAGTATGCTGATTATTTCTCTTGGGAGTTAGTGAAATCAGAGAAAAAAAATTAAATTTACTTTGGCTATAAATTATTAAAACTCTGTGCCAGTAAGAAAGATGGATAGTTGGTAAAGGTGCTACCATGCAAGCCTGGCAATCTGAGTTTGATCCCTGGAAACTAGATGACTCCACAAAGTTGTCTGTTGACTGCACAGGTGCACCGTGGCTCATGCATACTCACAAACACATCACACAAATATACATTAAAAAAATTTTTTTTATTTTATGTGTGTGTATTGCCTGCATGTAGGTAAGTGCAACCCATGTTGTGCAATGCCTGAGGAGGCCAAAAGAGGCTGTCGGATCCCCTGGAACTAGAGCTATGGACAGTTGTTAGCTGCCATGTGGGTGCTGGGATTCTAACCTGGGTCTTCTGCAAGAACAGCCAGTGTTCTTAACTGCTGAGCCACCTCTCCAGCCCACATTTTTTTTTAAACTATCAAAACTATTGAGTGTGATCTTACCTGTTCATATTAAAAGGTTTTTTTTTTCTCCCAAAATTTGGCTCTACAATAAGTTCAGTATTTCTTTCAACAAAAAATAAAAATAAGGGAGCTGGAGAGATGGCTCAGCTGTTCAGAGCTTCGGTGCTCTTGTAGAGGAACCAGGTTTTTCTTCCCAGAACCTATATGGCAGCTAACAACTGTCTGTAATTCCAGTTCCAGAGGCTCTGACACCCTCTTATGATTTCTAGGCATTGCATGTATGGGGTACATTTACATACATGCATTCATACACACACACACACACACACACACACACACACACACACAAACACTCCCACCCACTCTCAATGTTTACAACATATTTCCTATGTTCTAAAATAGTGAACTTACAAAATATGCCAGCATACTGCTAGGCACATAGCATAAAAGGAAAGTATATTCACTATAGAGAAACTCTGAAACATGACATAAACCTTTGTGGAAAATTATAATGAGCCCTTTGCTTCATTTATTTCTAGCTACTTCATTTATGTCACAAGAGAAACTGGACACAGTTGTAGTGAGAGTCACAGAGCATACATATGCTCTTTCCCTTTGGCTCCATTCACTCTTCACGGGGTTGAAGAGGTCTTCAGTTCTTCCAGGGTTTTGCTTAGGTGCGGGGTTTCTGAACTGAGTGGACTCTCCAGGTAGGCAGTTCCTGCGCAGGGTTTTCCTGTCACTGGATCAATGACTCTGCCAACTTTGAAGACAATCTCAGCTAGTTCATGTTTCACATGTTTTGATCGTGGGACAGGCAAAGCTCTGAGAAGCACAATGTCCCCAACGGTGCACTGCTGAAGGGCATCATGAGCAAAATAGGTTTTCCGCTTATTAAAGTACTGTTGAGAGAAGGAAAGAAAGAAATCAGTGGCTCCCATTGTGACCTGGTGGTGCAGTAAGAATATAAAAAAATAATGCACAGAAAACCAGCCAGGACTTGGGAAAAGAAGTTAAGATACTTCAGGTAACTTGTAGTACAATAGTTTGCTGCTTTTTGGGAAAATGGCAATTGCTTTTCCAGAGTTCTTTCTGAGCTCTGGTGGCTGTTCTTTCAACAGCCTGGCTCCATCAGTGATCATCTCTTCCTACACTAACACCCACCCCCTGGAGCCTTCTCTCTAGTCTATAAACACACAGCTATACCAGTTCTTTAACCATTCCAAGCTCAGTTTCTTCCGACCACAAAAGGAGGGTCTAAAGTTACCAGGACAAGGGGTTGGAGAGATGGCTCAGTGATTAAGAGTGATACTGCTCTTGTGGAGGATCCAAGTCTGATTCTCAACACTCACATCCTGCTGTTCACAATGTCTGTAACTTGAACTCCAGGGACTCCAATGCCTCTGATTTCCACGGGCACCTGCACTTGCATGCGTGTGCACACCCACACATACACAATTGAAAACTAGGTTTTCAAGACAATTAAACATTATAATGTACACTAAAGCACTTAACTCTACGCTTAGGTTCAAGAACTGCAAATAAGTGGCTCATAATAACTGGAATCACCTGGTTTCCATAATACTCTTGCTAAACCATGTATTCTCATTTTACAGATGTTAAAAAAACAGGCTTATGGGGCTAGAGAGATGGCTCAGCAGTTAAGAACACTGGTTGTTCTTGCAGAAGACCCAGGTTCGAAACCCAGCACCTACATGACAGCTAACAACTGCCTGTAACTCCAGTCCCAGGGGATACACGAATACACATAAAATAAAAAAAATATTAAAAAAAAAAAAGGCTTATGGAGGTTACCATGCAGAGATGGTAAACAACAGGTCTTCTTTGGTTTGTTCCTGTTTTCTCCTTTACTGTGCTGGGGACTGAACCCAGGGCCATGTGTAAGCTAGACAAGCTCTCTACCACTGAGACACACCCCAGGTCTGGCTGTGTGTGTGTGACTAGGGTTTAAACCTTGGGCTTTGTTGTGTGTGTGTTACTAGGGTTTAAACCTCGGGCTTTAGGCATGCTACCCAAGCTGTACCTCTGAGTTATACCTCCAGCCCTTTACTTTCTTATTTTGAAACAGTAGCCGGGCTAGTTTTGAGCTTGTGATCCTCCTGTCAGCCTCCCAAGTAGTTGAGATTACAGGCCTGTGTGCTACCAGGCCCAGTGCTTCCATTTCTGATCTTCTATATATATTTTTTTAATCACATTCATTCATTCATTCATTCATTTATTTATTTTGGTCTTTTTGAGACAGGGTCTCCCTGTAGCCCCAGCTGTCCTGGAATTTACTATGTAGACCAGACTGGCCTTGAACTCACAAAGATCCGCCAGCCTCTGCCTCCCAAGTGCTGAGATTAAAGGCATGTGCCACCACGCCGGGCCCACATTTATTTATTTTTTTAAAATTTTAAGTCTTTTTGAGACAGGTTCTCCCTGTAGCCCCAGCTGTCCTGGAACTCACCATGTAGACCAAGCTGGCCTTGAACTCACAGAGATCTGCCTGCCTCTGCCTCCTGGGATTAAAGGTGTGCACCACCATGCCCGGCTCATTTATTTATTTAAAAAAATTAAACTTACTTTTTATTTTATGGTGTCTTGCTGTATGTATGTAAGTGTACCATGTGCATGCAATGTCCACGGAGGCTAGAAGAGTATGTCAGATCGCCTGGAACTGGAGTTATGGTTGGTTGTTAGCTGCCATGTGGGTGGTGGGAATTGAACCCAGGTCCTCTGCAAAAATCAACCAGTGCGCTTAACTACTAAGCTATCTCTCCAGCTCATTATTACATTAATTTATACATATGTGTGTGAGAGAGTGTGTGTATATGCAGGAATGTGCCACATGTAGGTGTGGAGGTCAGAGAACAACTTACAGAAATCAGTTCTCTCCACCCTATGCGTCCCGGTCAAACTTACGTTGTTATTCTCGTTCCCCACTGAATGGCCTTTTTTTTTTTTTTGGTGTGTGTGTGTGTGTGCGTGTATTGCCTGCATGTACATGAGTGCACCCATGTCGTGTAATGCCACGGAGGTCAGAAGAGGGCTTTGAATTTCCCTGGAATTGGAGTTAAGGACAGTTCGTAGCTGTCATGTGGGTGCGGGGAATCGAACCTGGGTCCTCTGCAAGAGCAGTCAGCACCCTTAACTGCTGAGCCATCGCTCCAGCCCCCCTCCCCTTTTAAAGATTTTATTTATGCGTATGAATGTCTTGCCTACATGTATGTAAGTGCACCACTTACATGCCTGGTGCCTGGGGAGGCCAGAAGAAGACATCAGATCACCTGGAAGTGGAGTTATAGACTGGTGTTAGCTGCCATGTGGGCACTGGGAACTGAACCCAGGTCCTCTGGAAGAGCAACCAGTGCTCTCAACCACTGAGTTGAGTCTCCAGCCCTAACCAGTCTATTTTTGATCTTAATGAACAGCATTCCTAACTACCTAGGAGCCCAACCTTGAACACAAAAACTACCCTGTCCCACCCTACCCACCGACCTAGTAAATCAATGACTGTCTCTTCCTGAATTTACCTTTCCTGACTCCATTGCCACAGATCCAACTTTAGTTTAGGTCCTTACTATTTCCAACCCATATTTTTGCAAAAGTCCCCTTACCCACTCCTTACTCATATCCCCCACCTCTATCCTGTTTCCCTTATTTAAAGGATAAAATCAAAACACAAAGGCTCCTTCACAGTCCAGCTCCAAGTGCCCTTGCATTCATTCAACTGGAGTACCAAGCTCTAGCTTCAGCAACTTGGTGTTTCTGTAAGAGGCCACGTCCCATCACAGCTAAATGAACTACCTCAAACTACTCATCATAATTGGAATGACTTCTCATTACCTGGTCTTGGGATAAAATCTTATTTGAGGAGCTGGAGTGATGGCTCAGCAGTTAAGAGCACTGGCTGCTCTTGCAGAGGACCTGGGTTCAGCTCCCAGCACCCACATGGTGGCTAACAACCACTGGTAACTCCAGTTCCAGAGGATCTGACACCCTCTTCAGGCCTCCATGGGCACTGCGTGCATATGGTGCACTTATATATGTGCAGGGAAAACACACACATACACATATATGAAAAATCTTTTAGAACACGTTTGTGATTTATCAATGCCACTTTAAAACAGGCGATGTTCCTCACCTTCAGTAAGTAGGGATCCAGAACGAGCCTGGTTGCTCTCACTTTAGCAGTTTTTTGCATAGCTGTACCAATCACTTTTCCCACAACCCATTTGGCATGGACGGATGAACGGATTACTGACATTATGTGGCTTTGGGTACCTAAAGAGAAAATAAAAATAAAAAAAAATCGAAGTTTAACATTCTTTTGTTATTGTTTTAAGATATGGTCTTGCTATGTAGCCCAGGCTGGCCTTGAACTCAGAAATCCATCTGCCTCAGCCTCCAGAGTCCTGGGATTATCGACATGTTTGTTCCATAACACCTTGCTCAAAGTCTTAACATTCTGATGGTTAGGGCTTACCAAATGAATTTTGTCAGGAGCACTGTCCATGTTCAGAAATAACTTTTGCAACATTTCTGTAATAACCAGGTCAGAGATGGTTACACTTCCTATCTTTTACCACCCAACCTCCCATCTTTATAGGGTTTGCATAGCAGTAAATTAATCTCTCTAAGCCTGTTTTCCCAGTCTGAAAATTGGGGATAACAGGCCTGCTCAGAAATGTTTTGAGGTTTTAACCTTTAGGGTATACCATCCCGCAAATAAACTGGTCACAATGGTGTCCCTCTCTGTAAATGAGGCAGTAGACAGGGGAAAGTAGGTACTTCAAGGATCAGCCCCAGTAAGTCTCTGACCAAACCGTCTGGGAAACTCCCCGGACGTCAATCTCAGATGCTCCATGGATCAAAGCCCCTCTTCTTGGGTCAAGGCCTTAAGACCTTCACATAATTATATCAGCTCCTGACAAAGCTCCTGTGCCTGGAAGAAATTTCTCATCTTGTGCACCAGGAGACACGTCACCTTACTTCTTTGTTATTTAACCATTTAAAAAAACCTAGCACTTGACACTTAAACGGTGTCCTCTCTTGGATCCCTCCCTGTTTCTCCTCTAACACACGGTGCTGCTCGAAGCACTCAACTTCGGAGTCTGTGGGCTTTATTCCCGCCGTCCGCAGGGCAGGGTACCGAGGTCCTGCTGCCGGCGTGTATTACTCTACTGAGCCTGAATTCGACAAAGCCTCCCAAACTAAGCATGTAAGACCTCGGCCAGGCAGACAGTTTCCAGTCCAGGGACGAGGAGACCTTGACTGGGGGCTACTTTGGGGGTCAGTAACTACCGGAATCACTGCACCTGGGGAAGACTGACCGGCGACTACGGGGGCTCGGACAGCTCTAAATGCCGCAGCGCTGCTGGCCCGCAAACCCACACCCAGATCGCGCTCACCTCCAGCCTCTCCGACAGCGACTAAAGCCCCTGGAGCCCCGGGTGCAGGGTGATTGCGTCACACAGCGCGTTGGCCACCGGGACCGCTCTTTTCACTGGACGCCAGTCGGGTCAGCCCTGGGAGGGGCTCAAAGTCAAGACTCCGCCCGGTTCTACTGTAAAAGGACCTCGGCGGAGGTCTTCGGTATTGGAGTGTTCTGCTCATACTTTCCCCACCGGCACTGAGACAGGCCCGCAGAAAGTTCCGGTTTTTTCCTATTCCATTTCATTTCCTGTTCTTTCCGATTTCCCAGGAAATCAATTGGACATGCTTTCTAAATCAAAGGAATTTTCATTCGTCAAACATTGGAACTTTGTGGGGGGTTTTTTGGTTGTTTAAAAAAATATTTAGCCGGGCGTGGTGGCGCACGCCTTTAATCCCAGCACTCGGGAGGGAGAGGCAAGAGGATTTTGTGAGTTCAAGGCCAGCCTGGTCTACATAGTGAGTTCCAGGACAGCTGGGGCTACAGGGAGACCCTGTCTCAAAGAGACGAAAAAAAAAATTGTGTGTGTGTGTGTGTGTGTGTGTGTGTGTGTGTGTGTGTAAGTGCACCACATGCTTGCAGTGCCTGTGGAGGCCAGGTGAGGGCCTCGGATTCCCTGGAACTGGAATTAGAAGGTTGCTAGCCGCCATGGATGCTGGGAAACCAATCTGTGTCCTCTCCAAGAACAGCCAGTGCTCTTAACTGCTGACCCATCTCTCCAGGCCTGACAGTTCTGTAGCCCTGGCAGCCTCTGTGTGAACTATGACACCTGGTTTAGAATAACTTCTAATGTTATGTTGCACAGTATAATAATTGCATATATCAAAGTATCCATTAGATTTTTAATGTTCTTAAGACAAAGATGTGGTAAATGGATGGATATACCAATTAGCTTGCATGTATATGTACATGTCACACTGTACCTCATAAATATGTACAGTATACATGTCAATCAAAAATTTAAAGTTAGCCTCATGTGGTAGTGCATGCCTTTAATCTCAGCACTAGGGAGGCAGAGGCAGGTGGATCTCAGTGAGCTCAAGGTCAGCCTGGTCTACAGAGCATTTTCCAAGTCAGCTGGGGCTATGGGAGACCTTATCGCAAACAAACAAATAGGTGGGTGTGGTGGCACATGTCTCTAAATACAGCACTCAAAAGGCTGAGTCAGGAGGGTTGCAGTGAGTTTGAGGCCAGCCTGAACTGCAGAGTGAAACCCTGTGTCAAATGAATGAACGAATGAATGAATGAGGCTGAGGATGTAGCTCAGTTGGTAAAGTATTTGCCTAGCTTCTTTACAGCCCTGTGTTATATACCCAGCACTGCATAAACTGGGTGAGGTGATATGTGTAATCCCAGCTTTTGGGAAGTGGAGGCAGGAGTACCAGGAGTTCAAGGTCATCCTTAGCTACATAGTGAATTTGAGGCCAGCATGAGATCTACATGAGAGGCTATATGAGATCCTGTCAAAAAAAAAAAAAAAGCAAGCAGCCAGGTGTGGTGGTCTTTTTGAGACAGGGTCTCCCTGTAGCCCCAGCTGTCCTGGAACTCACTATGTAGACCAGGCTGGTGGCACACACTTTTAATCCCAGCACTTGGGAGGCAGAGGCAGGTGGGTCTCTGTGAATTCAAGGCTAGCCTGGGCTACATAGTGAGACCCTGTCTCAAAACAAAACAGTCTGAGGGGCTGGAGAGATGGCTCAGTGGTTAATAACACCGGTTGTTCTTGCAGAAGACCAGGGTTTGAATCCCAGCACCCACATGGCAGCTAACAACTGTCCATAACTCCAGTCCCAGGGGACCCAACAGCCTCTTCTGACCAATGCAGGCATTGCATGACACGGGTGCACTTACCTACATGCAGGCAATACATGCATACACATAAAATAAAAATAATAAATAAAAAGAACTACGACAACAAAAACCAAAACAATCTGGGAGATAAAGAGAGTCTGGTGTGAGAATGTGCATTTTGTACCAGTTATGAAGGAGTTAGATGATGGCTTCCTGATAATGCCTTCTCAGAGGGAAGGCTGGGATTATATATTAGGCTTTTGTATGCAAATTATTAAAAGAAATAGCCTATACTAGGCTACTGGAGCAGACAAAGGATCAAAATATAGGTGTGGGCAATCTTGACTACTCAGTTATATTCACAACTAGTGTTGGAAGACATAAAATAAGAATTCATTCAAAATAAAGAGCTAGGGATGTGGATAAACTGCCAAGTGTTTATCTAGTATGCACAAAGTCCTGCATGAAATTCCCAGTACTACAATAACAACAAAACATTAATCTGTCCAACTCATTTATTCCTTAAACACCTATAGAACATGTATTTTCTTATTCTCTTCTAGGTACTGGGGGCAAAGATGAAAAAAAGTGGATCCTCACCCACAAAAGACCCACAGTCTAATAGGGGAAAATGACAAACTAGTATAAAATAGGCACAGTAGAAAAGGAATGTAAATACAGAAAACATTCAAACATTCCCAACTCCCCCTTCATTATCCTCTTCACCACCACTTGAGGGTACTGTTTCATCCTGGTCAAACCTGAACTGGAACTTCCCCAAAGGGGAGACAAGGAAGTTCCCACAAGAAGAGTCCTAAAATGACCTGAAATAATGCTAGTTGGGAGTCCAAAGAAACAGTAAATACCAGGACAGATTAGTACAAAGCATTTATGAGAATTCCACCTTATCTGTGCAAGGGACAAGAGAAAGGGAGGATGTTCTATTTAGTTTTGTCCAAGTAAGGGTGTATATGGAGTTCCCATGAGGGTTTTGGCCCAGGGCCGGGGCCAGTTTCTTTCTCTTTTGGGTTATTATCCTAACTCCTTTATCAATGCTTGGGAATATTCAAGGCCATGGCCTGGACTCAAGCTAAGTGGGAAAACCCTGTGGTTTGGACTCAAGCTAACTGGGAAAACCCTGTGGCTGGCTCAGTCTCAGATAATGGTCAAAGAACTTTAATTTCTTTTGGGGTCAAACATAGAAGTAGGATCTGGAGGGCTCTACAGAGGGCCATGGGATGTGGGGAGGCCATGTGAAGTAGAAAGGAGAGCATGTGGAAGGTCATGAGGTGTGAGAGAATGTGAAGTGGTGAGCAAGAATCTGCCACTTGGCAGAAAATGAAGCTAGGTAGCTCCGGCCTTCTCCACAGGAGGCATTTCTTGTTAAGGACCTGACGCTGTCCTCTACAAGATGGGGGAACCTTTGAAAAATGTGAGCAGTTTTTCAGGTTTTTAAGATCATCCTAGTAATGTGTGTGTCTTCATGAGACATGGTATCACTATATATTTCAGGCTGGCCTCAGACTCACAGCAATCTTCCTGCCCGGCTGAATATTTTTCATGCTAAAAGTTTTTTTTATTCTAGTGAAAAGCAGAATAACAAATTAGTGTAGCAAGCTATTAAGTTCCATAGATAATATTAGGTCAAACTAAAAATCCTATGTCCTTTAAAAATATTAAGACTATAGTAAAAACTGTAAATAAAGCACAAAATGACTGAAGTTTGAGAAAGTTATTTATTTATTTTAGGTGGATGAGTATTTTGTCTACCTGCATGTATGTAAGTGCACTATATGCATGCAATGCCCACATAGGCAAAAAGAGGGTGTTGGATCCCCTGGAACTGTAGTTAAGGATGGTGTTAGCTGCCACGTGGGTACTGGGAACCAAACCCAGGTCCTTTGTAAGAGTAGTTAGTGCTCTTCACTGCTGAATCATCTCTCCAGCCTTAAGTTTGAGAAATATTGCTCTTTCTGTTTATTCTAGTTTATATAACTCATTATAGTACAACGGTGCCTCATTTAATCAATATTCATTTAATTTAAAAGATTTATAGCTAAAATGTATAGGTTAGTAATTGTAGGTTATTGCCTTCAAGATTTGGGTTTTTTTCCCTTTTCTTCCCTCCCTCTCTCCGTCCCTCCGTCCCTCCCTCCCTCCCTTCTTTCTTTTCCTTCCTTTTTTTCTTGAGAGCCTGTCTCAACTAGCCCATGTTGGCTTTGAACTCCAGATGTAGTGGAGGAAAGCCTTTAACTCATGAACCACTTGTCTTCACCTCCCAAGTGCTAAGTTAAAAGAACAACAGCAACAAGAAAAACAAGTGCTAGAATTACAAGCATGTGCCATCCCAACCTACTTCTTTAAGAAGTTTTATACTAGATTTAGAACATGACCCAATATATATTTGCTTGTAAAATAAATAGCATTCACTATTTATGACACCTCCTGAAAATGTAATATACTACTAGTTTCAGTTATAAAATTTGGTTTCTATGCATTAAAAGCTCACTCACTGGGGCTGGAGATATGGCTCAGTGGTTAAGAGTGCTGGCTGCTCTTGCAGAGGAACTGAGTTGGGTTCTCAGCACAGACACAGAAGCTAACAACCACCCATCAGTAACTCCAGTTCCAGGGGCCCTGATGCCATCTTCTAACCTCCTTGGGCATTGCTTGACGCAGGTGCACTTAGAGACATACATACACATAAAATAAAAAAAAATTTTTTTTGGTCTTTTTGAGACAGGGTCTCCCTGTAGCCCCAGCTAGCCTATGTAGACCAGGCTGGCCTCAAACTCACAGAGATCCGCCTGCCTCTGCCTCCCAAAGGCTGTGATCAAAGGCGTGCTCCACCATGCCTGGCATAAAAATACTTTTTGAAAGCTTACTCATGAGCTTTCTCTCCACCAAATAATTTGATAATGAATGGAAAAAATGAGTTTAGAATTTTCACACATCTATACATTCATATTTTCCCCCCGTCATAAGTTATGTGCCACTAAGGGGAGGACTTTGGGTTGAGGTTTTCTCACATTTATATTTACATACTTTCTCACGGGTATGTATTTTCTTATGTTGGTTAAGGTGTGCGCTTTGACTGAAGGCTTTACCACATTCATTACACTTATAGGGCTTCTCTCCTGTATGAGTCCTTTCATGTTGATTAAGGTGTGTTCTCTGACTGAAGGTTTTCCCACAAAAACTACATTCATAAGGTCTCTCTCCAGTGTGAAGCCTATGATGCTCAGTTAGAGATGTGATACGGCTAAAGGCTTTGCCACACTGATGACATTTGTAGGGCTTTTCTCCAGTATGGATTCTCAGATGCTGAGTAAAGGATGAATGTTGACGGAAGGCTTTCCCACAGTCATTGCATATGATAGGTTTTTCCCCTGTATGGATTCTCTGATGTTGAATAAGATGTATTCTCTGGCTGAATCTTCTCCCACATTCATCACACTTATAGGGTTTTTCTCCTGCAAGGACTATCTGAGGTTGGTTATGAGATGAATTGTGGCTGAAAGCCTTTCCACATTCATTGCACTTCTCTCTGACATGAATACAATTAGTAAGAACATTATGCTGGTTGAAGGTTTTTCCACATTCATTATAGTCATCGGGATTTTCTCTTACATAATTTCCCTGACAATAAATCAAGTTTGAATTATGTTTGATGCTATTTTCTTGTGTGTCATAATGAAGAAGTATTTTAACTTGAGGAATTCTCTGATGCATAATAAGGTTTGAGTTCAGATTATAGCTTTCCTCAAATTTATTACACTCCATGCTTCTCTGTGTAATCTTTTGGTGGGTGAAAGATACTTGTTCCGAATGTCTCTTCTGGCTTTCCTGATTAAATTCTAACTGATAATCGAAATCCCAGAGTCCTCCTAAGATGGAGTAACAGAATCTGTCTCCTGTTAGTCTTTCCATTATAACCTCATGGGTTTGTTTTTCATCAGAAATATTCTGGTTGAGAGTTGACTTTTTCATTTGAGGTCTGTTTTCTCCATCTAAAAGAAATTCAGAACATATAAATACTTTCCAATATTGTTTTTTTTTTCTTTATGAGACAGGGTGTCCCTATAGCCCCAGCTGGCCTGAAACTCACTGTATAAACCACAATGGTCTCCATCTCACAGAGCTCCACCTGCCTCTGTCTCCAGAGTGCTGAGGTTAAAGGCATGCACCATCACACCCAGCTTCCAGTATTAGGCTTTGAAAAGGAAATTGTTGCATACAGAATTGCCAGGTGAAACTAACAATAATATGTACATGGCATATATGACAGTGAACATTTCTTTGTCTGACATAGAAATGGAAAGACTATAAAAGGACAGGCAGTGAGCATGGGGGAAATCATGCATGGCAGTGGTCATCCATCCAGAAGTATCCATAGTTGAAAGAAGATGGACAGAAGAAAAAGAAATGTCAGACAAAGGCCGTTGGGAGAGATCAGAGGAATTGACATGCTTTGAGAAGGCAGATCTAAGCCCAGGCCCTATGAAGTTCGTTTGCGGATTGTTCTATTGTAATGCCAACTTGTTTATTTAAAAATTAATTCTTCTTGCCAACTTAATTCCAGCATTTGGGAGGCAGAGGCAGGTGGATCTCTGTGAGATCAAGGCCAGCCTGGTTTACATACTGAGTTCCAGGCCAGCTGGGGCTACAGGGAAACTTGGTCTTAAAAAGACCAAAAAATTACTTCTTCATGGGGCTGGAGAGATGGCTCAGAGGTTAAAGGCACTGACTGCTCTTGCAGAGGACCTGGGTTTGGTTCCCAGCACCCACACAATAGTCTAATAACTGTCTATAACTCCAGTTCAGGGGATCCAATGCCCTCTTCTGGCCTCCACAGGCATTGCATGACATGGGTGCACTTGCATACATGCAGGCAAAACATTCATACACCTAAAACAAAAATAAATATGGGGACTGGAAAGATGGTTCCTTGGTTAAGAGCACTAGCTGCTCTTGCAGAGGACCCTGTTTGCTTCCCAGCATCCACATGGTGGCTAACAACCATTTGCAACTAGGGGGCTGACACCCTCTTCTAATCTCTAAGGGCATTGCATGACACAGGTACATTTACATACATGCAGGCAATACACTCATATATATAAAATAAAAATAAATAAAATACATTTTAAAAATTGCTATTTTTATTTTTTGTTTAAAATGATAAAAGTAACATATAATGTAATATATTTAAATAATGTGGACATGTTTATAAAAAAAGAACCCCATCTCCTTCAAATAATCACTGTTAATATTTTGGAGGTTACCTCACCTGATTTTTCCCTATGTTCATATAAACATATATGAAAGCAATATTTTGAACAAGCATGACTTACAGAGTATGATAAAATTTTAATTTTGGTTTCCATCTACTTTTTTGTTTTGTTTCTTTGAGACAGGGTCTCACTATGCAGCCCAGGCTGGCCTCAAACTTGTGATTCTTCTGCTTCAGTCTTTTAACTACTAGGATTACAGACGCATGCCATCATCCTTAGATTCTGATGTAATTATTAAGGTACTTGCTTTTTACTGACAAGTATCCCAATTAGGATAGTAATTCTTGTTTCAAGAACAAGGCTAGTGCGTTATTCATATTGGAGAAAGCTAAAGCAGATTCTTACTCCAAAAATAAATAATAAATAGAACATATTATCATAAGTGTTTCTCATGGGTCAACAAGCATCAATCTATGCTTTTAAAGAGAAACAATTGTATGATTCATGTCAAAAATAGAAATATAAGTCTAGCTACGTTTTGCTCATTCAAAGAATCTACAGTGCCAAACAAGGCATCTAGGAAGGAAACCCCTTGATTAGTCCAAATACATCTTCATATTTAATGGTAGATCATTTTTTTTTCTTAGAGTCTCCCTATGAAGCCAAGGCTAGGCACCAACTGCTGTTCTTCCTATCTCTCCCTCTTGAGTGCTGAGATCACCAGTGTGCACCATCATGCCTGGCATTTTCTTTCTGTTTTTGTTTATGTGGAGACAGGCTTGTGTTATATAGCCCAGGCTGCCCTCAAACTCTCTATGTAGCCCATGAAGACTAGTCTCATACATTTCTTCTACTTCAGCTTCTTGAGTGCTAGGATTATTAGTGTGGACCAGTAATGTTCACTAACCCATTTTTTAAAAAGTTCTGGCAGTTGGCTTTTTTTTTGGTCTTTTTGAGATAGGGTCTCCCTATAGCCCCAGTTGGCCTGGAACTCACTACATAGACCAGACCAGGCTGGCCAGCCTCTGCCTCCCAAGTGCTGGTATTAAAGGCATGCACCACCATGCCTGGCTGGCAGTTAGCTTTTTAACATTAATTAATTAATTAATTAGTTAATTAATGAACTTACTTATTTTGTTATTTAGTTATGGGGTGGTATGGGCCACTGAACATGTGTGGAGGTCAGAGGCTGTTCTCTCCTTCTACCACATGTGTTCTAGGGATTAAACTCAGGTCATCAAGCTTGGTAGCAAGCACCTTTACTGCTTGAGCCTTCTTGTTGGCCCTGGCCCTATTTTTAAAAAATTTTATTATTTTTATGTGCATGAATGTATTGCCTGCATGTGTATATGCATCTGTGTCATGCAATGTCCAAGGAGGTCAAAAGAAGGCATCAGATCCCCTGGAACTGAAGCTACAGATGGTTGTTAACCACCATGTGGGTGCTGGGAATCGAACACAGGTCCTCTGCAAGAGCAGTCACTACTCTTAACTGCTGAGCCATCTCTCCAGCCCACCCCCCACTTTTTCTGGCCCTATTTTTTTAAACCTCCTCTTCACATAATCATTTACAGACTGGTTTTTCTTTCTCCTAATTACCCCTGTCATTTCTTTCATTCATTAATATGAGGACCAATGCTGTATTTGCTTAGATAAACAGGTATTAGACAATGTTAATGCAATGAAGCACGTGATACCCCCGAGTGTGTGCCAGAATTCAGTCACACTGGGAGATCACTCTCAGTCCCTTGAGCAACAGAAATGCTTTATCATATCTTCTTAAGAACCAGTAGAGGTTGGGGAGATGGTTCATCAGGTAAAGTACTTGCTGTGCAATTGTGAGAACCACAACTTGATCCCAGCAGCCACATAAATGCTGGGTTGGCATGGTGGCCCACCATGTGGACTAGCCAAATCCACAAACTCTGTGCTCAAGTACAAGACCCTGCCTCAATATATAAGGTGGATAGTGATTCGGGAAGTCACTCAGTTTCAACCTCTGTCCTCCACAAAAATTCACAGCTGTACACACATGTACACCTACATATGTGAACACACACACACACACACACACACACACACGCACACACACACACACACACAAATTTTTAAAAAGATGGGCCAGAAGCCGGGCCTGGTGGTGCATGCCTTTAATCCCAGCACTTGGGAGGCAGAGGCAGGCAGATCTTTGTGAGTTTGAGGCCAGCCTGGTCTACATAGTGAGTTCCAGGACAGCTGGGGCTACAAGGAGACCCTGTCTCAAAAAAGACAAAAAAAAAAAAAAAAGGGCCAGTGAGATGGCTCAGTGGGTAAGGGTATTTACCACCAAGCCTGATGAACCTGAGTATGGTCCTTGGAACCCACATGATGGAAAAGAGACTCAACTCGTGTGTCCTCTGCTTGTCACTTGTACACTATGGTACATGTGCATACACACACACACAAGAAATTTTTAAAAAATGTTTAAAAAGAGGGGAGCCACTGTAGAAGTCTCTGAAAATAATAAAGAAATACAGTTTCCTGAGAAAACAGCTAGGCAACCCATCCCGGACAAGGGATATGAGAAAAGTCACTTATTCTGTGAATCAAGAGCAGTGGGCACCTTCATAGAGCTGTATAATATAGGTCTTTTAAAGTTAGAAACTATTTTTTCTAGTAGGTTGGGACAGAACAGGCTGAAATAGAAGGAAGTTTTTTACCTAAGAAAATCTAGAGTGCTAAAAGTCAGAAGAGTCAAGTCAACATCACTTAAAAAAGCTGATGGTTCTGGGTGTGGTGGTGCAGGCCTGTAGTCCCAGCACTTGGGAGGCAGAGGCAGGTGGATCTCTGTGAGTTCAAGGTCAGCCTGGTCTACATAGTGAGTTCCAGGACAGCTGGGGCTGCAGGGAGACCCTGTTTCAAAAAGACATAAATAAATAAATAAATAAATAAATAAATAAATAAATAAATAAATTTTTAAAAAGAAGGAAAAATCCTAGGGAATCTTAG